GGAAAAAACTATGCCCAGCAGTGGGGCATTTATTAATATTGAAAGACCGGTTTTTCCAAGCAGAAAAGCCTATGACAGTGCGACCTTTCTATTATCATTTGTGGTTGCCCTTTTTTAAATTCGCCAATTCCATCGCCGATGTGGTGCTTCAGGGAATGGAATTATTTATTCCTAACTCTGTGGTACCTGTCGGTGGGAAATCCCAGCCCTGGTATGGAGCCTCTTGTAGAATAGCATCTCGCCTGAAACAGGAGTGCTTCCTAGCCTGGGCCAAAGGTGTGGCATCGCGAGATCCTAACATCAGTGCCCTTAAAAAGAAGTATAACTTTGCCTCTAGGTCCTTCAAAAGAGTTTTGGCCACAGCGAAGTCAGAGCATATTGGTAGAATTGGCAAGAGATTGGCTAGTTTACCTTCGGGATCTCGAGCTTTCTGGTCTCTTGCCAAAGCTGCACAAGGGAATTTCTGTCAGTCATCTTTTCCACCGTTGCGCAGGGAGGATAACTCGTTGGCTCTGAACGCCAAAGAGAAGGCCGATCTCCTTGGATCTCTCTTTGCATCAAACTCGACATTGGATGACGGGGAGAAACTACCGCCGACCATCCCGCGTTGTAGGAGCTCTACGCCGGATGTTAAATTCACGCAAAGATCAGTGCGTAGAGCACTTCTCTCCCTTGAAATCCATAAGTCGAGCGGGCCCGATGGCATTCCTCCAATTGTGCTAAGGACGTGCGCACCAGAGTTGGCTCCGGTTCTTACGCGTCTTTTTCGGCTCTGTTACTCATCAGGTATAGTCCCAAAGTTTTGGAAGACTGCTTTGGTGCATCCGATCCCTAAAAAAGGAGACCGCTCAGATCCAGCTAACTATAGGCCCATAGCTATCACTTCCTTATTCTCGAAAGTCATGGAATCAGTTATTAACCATCAACTGCTCCGGTACCTAGAGGATCGCCAGCTGATCTCAGACCGCCAGTACGGCTTTCGACGGGGACGCTCGGCTGGTGATCTTTTAGTTTATTTAACACACCGATGGGCAGTGGCAATCGAGAATAAGGGAGAGGCCTTAGCTGTTAGTCTGGATATTGCGAAAGCCTTTGATCGGGTGTGGCATAGGGCACTAATCTCAAAACTACCTTCGTTTGGGTTGCCTGCGAGATTGTGCAGTTGGGTCGCCAGCTTTCTTAAGGAACGTAGCATTAAGGTCGTAGTCGACGGAGCATGCTCTGACTTAAAACCTGTGAATGCTGGTGTCCCGCAAGGCTGTGTACTATCTCCAACACTGTTTCTTCTGCATATCAATGATATGTTACAGATCAGTGATATTCATTGTTATGCGGACGACAGTACAGGAGATGCATTATACACCGGTCATGCAAAGATCTCGCGGGCACATACTGATGAGCTCCGGAACAGACTTGTGTCTGAAATCGAAACTTCACTCGATAAAGTTTCGATCTGGGGTGAACGCAATCTTGTTCACTTTAACCCTAAGAAGACACAAGTCTGCGCGTTCACCGCAAAAAAGACACCGTTTGTCGTATCACCTCACTTTCAGGGCACTTCCCTTGATAATAAGTCGAGTCTGGGGATTCTTGGCGTCGATATATCTAGCGACGTCCAGTTTTGCGGTCATCTGGAGGAAAAAGCTAAGATAGCTTCCAAAAAGTTGGGGGTGCTCAATAGGGTGAGACGGTATTTCACGCCAGAAAACCGCCTGAAACTGTATAAAGCTCAAGTGAGGCCACACATGGAATACTGTTCTCACCTGTGGGCAGGAGCGCCACAGTACCAACTCCTTCCGTTAGACCGCATTCAAAGTCGGGCAGCTCGAATTGTTGACGATCGGCGTCTTACTGTCCGGCTCGACCCACTGAAACTGCGTAGAGATGTTGCATCTCTGTGCATCTTCTACCGAATTTATCATGGGGAGTGCTCTGAAGAATTGTTCGGATTGATACCTGCTGCAAATTTTCACCATCGTACAACCCGCCATAAACTAAAATTTCATCCCAACCATCTGGACGAGTGGCGGTCCTCCACCGTGCGTTTTTCAAGGCACTTTCTTCCTCGCACAACCACTCTTTGGAATCAACTTCCAGCAGCAGTATTTCCGAACCGATACGACAACATAACCTTCAAGAAAAGAGCATATTCCTTTTTAAAAGGCCGGCAGCACACCTGCAATGCCGTAGGTGTTGTGGGTGACCATGGGCGGCGGTAGTCACTTACCATCAGGTGAGCCGCATGCTCGTTTGCCCCCTGTGTTGTAAAAAAAAAAAAAAAAAAAAAATTCGCTGCTAATTCCTATCATAAATAGGAATTTTAAAATGTTTTTTAATCCCTCAGGATATAAAGTGTATTTAATTTTAATTTGTTCTAAAGAGAATATATTGTTTACATATATTGAGTGGGCTTCAATCACATAATAATGTCTTACATTAATGAACAATTAATAGGTTATTAACACATTGGTTAGTGGAACAGAATACCTTTTTCGAAAATTTTGAATAATTAAGCACACCTCATAAAGCATTGCGTTAGTGTATTTAATAGAGTTACATTGAAGAATAATTTAAAAGACTTAATTACGATATCTGTTTAACACAACGACTTGATTGACTTTTGCATTAAGCTCTGGTATTCATTAAATGCAGTTTCAAAGATCTATTGAGGAGAACTGTGACCGGTGAACGTTGGGCAATATTTTCGCAATTTTGCAGACCATTCTTGAGACAGATTATTAATAGTTTCTAGTTAATAAATTTGTTCACAACTCCCTTTCTAAAGTTCTAAATACACTCGACTATATTAGCAATTGGCCAGTTTTGTTTGTAAGTTAGTATAATCTATTATAGAGATAGGTTCATCAAATTCTTCATAAGCGTCTTCCATATCCTTATTTATTACAATTTTTGTTTAATAAAACTGCAATTTATTTTGATTTTGTAACTCTGTTTTCTAATTAATAGGGTTTACTTCTATGTTGATTGCGTATTAATTTTGAAGCCGCCATCTTTCTTTGCGTAACAAATCCTTGATATTCGGCATTCTATATTCAAATATTTTTAATCCATTAAATAACAACTCACAGGTTTTTCATTGGTGTGTTTCTGTTATTATTAATTAATTATTTATTTATTACAAAACAAGTGTACAATACAGACTTTTTTGCAAGTTAGAATGACAAAGAAACTGACAGCCCAGCTGATGGAACCGCCGTCTATAGACATAAGCAGTACGATGAGCATAACAGAGTATATTGTTTCGCCCAAGATATCCCACTTGTGTTGCCATTCCTGAGGATTCAAGTGTTATTCCTCTGTACCCTGTAAATTCACTGCCATATCTCACCCTTCAAACCGAAACACAGTCATGCAAACACAACTGCTTCACGTTAGAAATACGAAAAGGACAGAGAATTAATTAAATTAAAAATTAATTAATTTGAATTAAGCAAAAAAAGCATTATCTTAGTCAATAAGAATATTTGAACGTAATATTAGTACATATATATATTTATTGTGTATTTACTTAAATTTTAGTATATAATAAAATATTATGTCATTTCCATTGGTTGTATAGCAGTATTTAGATAGAACACCTGGCTGGTTGGCTAGCGGCCGACATTTGCCAATATTTGGTCGGACCCCAGCATCCCCAGATATTGCAATTCCGACCGAAAGATTACGTTTAAACTGAAATATTTTCAGTGAAATATCAAGACGAGACACCGGCGAAATACCTCATAGTATGTAGGCATTGTGAAATTTAAAAGTTGGAATGACATTGGGTGGGGAGAGGAGGTAAAATAAATGAATGTTATGAATTCATTATAAAAATTCCGTGCCCTAATTTCGACTTAAAAGGAACCGGTGGCCCGTAAGTTGGAATCTTTTTTCAACTGATTTTGGTAAGAAGGAAAGTTCTCAATTCGGTTGTTTGTTTTTGTTGTAATTTATACAAACTCCGATTTTATTATAATTACTATTTGTAAAAGATTTGAATAGGTATTTTGTTTATTTAAATAGATTTTTTGAACAAAAGAAAATATGGTACAAAAGGCGGACTTAATGATAAGTATAAACTATTGAAACTAAAATACATTATCTTGTACATTGTCAATATAGTATATAAAGTATATTAAGCTGCATCAAATATATATATATATATATATATATATATATATATATATATATATATATATATATATATATATATATATATATATATATATATATTTGTTCCGTTTCCTCATATTGTTCTTATTGAGAAGAAAAATGCGCACCCTATTTTTACATCCAAAACTTGTAATAACATATATAAATATTTTTAAATTTATTTTGTTATAGCAAAAGGGTCCCGTATAGTAACAGAATCGTTTTATAAAGGAAAAAAAGAGGAAATTTCTAATTAGTTTTTTGCTTGTATAATAAGTTTACTATTGTAATCTTTTGGAGGAAACAATAAAGAGTATCTATCTATCTATCTACGTATATACGCTGTAAGATATACAAGTATATTTAGAAATAATTTTGTAATTATTTTGATGATTACAAAAATAACAAATATATAACTATTATATTATATATTAATATAAAATTATAATATTAAATATATAACTATTTTTTTATATTTCTTCTTTTATATATACTTTATTGTATACACTTATAATATATACAGAAATATGACAGTGGAGAGCAAATTTACTAAGGAGAGCTTGACGCTGCAAGAGTTCTCTTCCAGCAAATAAATTATGTAAAAAATTTTTTTAGTTAAAGACCTTTGTAGACATAGATATAGATGACGCAAATATGTATTTATTTAACTCTTTATTGCACCGTAAACAAAAATATACTATGACAAGTGAATAATACAAGTGAAATATAGTAACATAAATACAGATTGAAATGTACACATAAAGGTACAAAAGGCGGTCTTATCGCTAGGGCAAATAAAGTGTTTATCTATCTATCTATCTATCTAATTATATTCAAAGTCTTACCTTTAAGTAACAGCACGTAATTCTTCTTATCATCACCGCCCTTCGGGTACTCCCAATCCACGTCCAAACCGTCGAAGTTCCTATCGCGAAGGTAAGGAATTGCAGAGTAGATGAACGTCTGTCGGGCGTACCGCGAAGCTGACATCTCCTTGAATTTCTGGGTACCGAATGACCAGCCACCTGGTATAGAAAACAAATTAAGAATGAGATATGGTAATGATATTATTGGGTACCATAGTTGTCAGAGGAGGCACAGTATGAGGGGTACCATGGGTGTCACAGAATATTCTGTAATTATTTGCCTGAAAATGCCTTGTTTAGAGGTGAAACACATATCGCTTTTAACAAACTACCTAGCAGTACTAGGCTGCAAATCCAAAATCTTGCAGTACAGCAAGATTTTGGATTTTCGTTAAACAGAAATATGTGAATGCTAAAGATTTCAATTTCATACTGTAACTCGTAATATATATATATATATATATATATATATATATATATATATATATATATATATATATATATTGTTGTATATGTAAATAAATGAGATTGTATTTTACATGAAATTCAATTCAATTTATAATAATTTTAATACTTCAAAAGTTAATTCATTTGAATATTTTATAATTACCATTACTAGATGATGATTATCAGTTATGATCACGTCATCTTTATTATATATACTAATATTATAAAGAAAAGATTTGTTTGTTTGTAATAGGTGAACTCGAAAACTATGCAACTGATTTTAAAAATTATATGTATGGCTATATATTATGTTAAAAAATTCTGTCTACCCGTGCGAAGCCGGGCTTAATCGCTAGTAGTAATATAAAAAAAAATCGGAAACTTTGACAAACTCCATTCCATCCACGTGACCCAAGTAAATCGCGCTAAAATAATGAAGGGAAAAATCTATAAAAAACATAATGTCGATATCGCTATTTCACTGTACATAATACAGCGTGTTGCGCCACCATACGTTCTTTTGCTCTTATGAAAATGGGAGCGTTTTTTGTCGGCGTTCCCGTGAAAATAGGTGAAAATGCCGACAACGACGCTTTGTACCGTGGGAAAGCTGCGGGCCGTTCGCACACGTAATAGTGAAGCGACGTAACTGACAAGACATATCGATATCGAGGTTTATATTTTTTTTATGCAACTTAGAATGACAAACAAGCTGACGGCCCACCTGATGGAAAGTGGTAACTGTCGCCTATAAACATGGGCAGTACCATGGACATTAATTAAGAACAAGTAAGTCATTAATTGTATCTTTTTAATCACACGTTATATTTGAAGTTTAAAAATATAATTATAAACAATTATAGAATGATAATGAAGCTAGCAAATTAATTATCCAACTATGTATGATCTGAGGGCATACCATGAAATGTTCTCCAAAATTACATTATATATACCATTTAAAAATATTAAACATGCCAAAATATTGTTCCTTTAAACTTTTATGGTAGGATTTAAGCAAATTTAAATGTTAAGCTCCATTTGCTGAGCTGTATTCGATATGAACTAAAACACGAAATTGAGTACGAAAATTTGGAATTTCATTTTATGGAATTTCATTATCCCCTTGTTTCTATAGATATTAATTAAAATATAACCAATTTTTTTTAAACTATCACAGAATCATTCTCCAAATACAATTAATAGCAGATCGAAATATTCAACAAATTAATCGAAGTTTTATTTGTATTACTATTAGACATCAGTGGACAGTCTCATGGTCGGGTAATTTTTTTATTAGTTTACATTTTTTTTTATTAATTATTATTCTCTCCATTGCTGAATATACCTTCCCCCATAAGGAGGGTTTTGCCAGTAGGTACTACGCAGGCGGGTTGGAAACCGCAGCATGTTTTAGGATGGACGCTGCTGTCCATCCCTCTACCATAAGCTTCTTTAGTCGCCTCTTACGACAACCATGGGAAAGAAAGGGAAGGTTCATTCTATGCCGAGATCACACGGCAATAGTTTTGTTAAAACAGACTATATTCATCAATACATTTTTAATTCAAAAATTTCAAAATTATTATATATAATACTAGCGGCCCGTCCGCACGGGTGGACATTTTTACAAAATTTAAAAAGTGGCTATTATGATATAACGATAATAGTTGGACATATAGTATCGTTAAGTTTTTTGTAGTTATTGATATTTTCTTCAATATTCAATACATACTTTTGTTCTATCACCAATAGTTTCCGCAATGCACGCGACGAAAAATATTTTATAGCATTTTTTACACCTTGAGTTACGTTACTAAAGTTTTAGTGAGGGTATCTAATCTTTTCTAGCAATAAATATAGCCTATGTTACTCAGGGTGAATGTAGCTTTCTAATGGTGAAAGAATTTTTGATATCGGCAAAGTAGTTTTTGAGTTTATTCATTACAAACATACATTCACACAAAAATACAAGTCTTTCCTCTTTATAATATTAGTGTAGATGTAAATAAATAAAAATAAATAGACTAATACTTTTGATTTCATGTAACTACATACAAATAATCAATGTACAAATTATTTAAATGTAAGCCTCATTAAATATAAATAAATTTATATATACGCATATAAATAACGAACGTGTAATTAGCTAATTGCATTGAAGAAAATTAAGATGATATGTTTTAAACCGGCTTTTAGAAAGTTGTTAAACATAGCTATATATTACATAGTACAAATGTTAAAGAGTTCATAGCTTATAACCTACCTATCAAGTGAAGTTTTTATTATTAATTGAAATATTATTAGATTGAGATGGTATTATAAAACTACAATAAATAAAATTGTAATATACTGCTAATTGAAATTTGAAGGTTATAAAAAAAAAGTCCATAAGAAATTTTCACAATCCGCTTTATGTGATGATTTCCATTTAATATTTAAACAAATGAAACCAATTATATAACATCTGCTTTTATGTAATTTATTCAATAGACCCGTTTATATCTTTTACTATCAAATTAATAAACAATTTTTAACGATTAAACCAATTTATTATGACTTATTAATAAATAATAAAGATAATAAAAAAAAAACTATTACTCAAGTTCATAGTTATAGTAGTTTTTAAGATTATTATTGCAAATTGATGTAGTTTTATCGACAATTCTACATTGCATCACTATAACAGTTCAGAAAGTTTGAAATGTTACACAGAATCGAGTTGTAGAGCAAATAAAAAGTAAACTGGCCATTATGTGATTGAATAACAGAACTAAACTTGTGGACCAGAGTAGGCTATGTACTCGTAACATACGAGTATGTATTTTTTTTTTCTTAAAACACGTACAATATATATTAAAGTCTATTATAATTTAGCATTTAGGAAAATCTCGTATGGTTTATCTGTGTATTGTGAGTCACTGGTAGTAATTCCATAAGTAGAAATGTATTACTTAAATTACGGATAGTAGCAAGTTATTATATAAATAAGTGAAGATATAAGATAGAACTTAGAATGGCAAACAAGCTGACGGCCCATCTGATGGAAAGTGGTAACCGTCGCCTATAGACATGAGCAGTACCATGGACATAACAGAGTATACTGTTTCGCTCATGAAACTCCCCATTCGTTGCCATTCCTTAGGACTCAGGTGTTATTCCTCTGTACCCTGTAAATTCACGCCATATCCCACCCTTCAAACCGAAACAGCCTTGCAAACACAACTGCTTTACGGTTGAAACACGAATGGGATAGAGGTGCTCAAGCAAACGACTTTTGTACAGTGTCTCCCTCTGGTAATTCTATAATGATTTCAAAGTATCCACTTACCAATAGCTAACAACGTTTTCAATTTAGGATTAGCCTTTTTCAATTGGTTGATCCTGTCGTACAGTCCAGTTTTGCCGTCTTTTGTTTCGTCGTTGGACTCGAAAGAACTGAGTTTTCCCTTCTTCAGCCAGCCGAAAGCGAAAATAATGTGAGTGCATAGATCAGGCTGGATATCTTCAGGTAGGAATTTACCGATTTTCGTTCTGTACTGGGACCAGTTCGTGTAATAACAGACGACCTGCAAATACAGCATTATTTAATTTATTTGTATTGATAAGATCCATATTTTGTTAACTTTCCATTACTGAATATAGACCTCAGCATATTGGGGGTGTTTGCCAGTAGTTGCCGTGCTTGGCAAGTGGGCTAGCATCCGCAATTAGGCTTTGGTGATATTTTAACAGGGAAGCTGCTGCTCGTCCGTCTAGCATTCATTTAGTCGCCTTAATAAATTCCCTTAGAAAAAAATAATTAAATATAATAGAATAAATAAAAGTTAGTTTTAAATGTTTTATATAATATATCGTGATATAATTATTCAAAAAAGGGATTTTAACGACGTTTAGCTTGTGTTTGCACATTTATTAATTATCTAGACTGTAAGTAACTCAATTTTCGTTTACTACATGTGGTAGCTTTTAATTATCTTATTGTTGTCATATACATTTAATTATTATGTTATTATAACTGTAAGCTACCCTCAAAAATAATGAATATATAAAAATAAATGAATTAAGAAATTTGGAACAACTAAGTTTTATATTTGTAAAGGGAACTAAAGAAATAAATAAATAATTTCATTGTAAATGGTATAAAGCCATTAAATTGTTTTTCAAGCAGTAAATTACTTAAAATAATTATGTTATTACTCATAGACATTGTATATAAATATATTACTATATTCTTCAATATGGCAGAATAAATACTTCATTTTCATTATGTGGGAAAAAAATATATTCCTTAAAAATGTTTAATATTTATAATAGTATTTCGATAAATATAACTTTTTATTTATAATAATATAAAATGTATACATAAAACAGTATTTTGCGGTATATCTTCAAATTAGCTTTAACCATGTCAACAACCCTGTAATTTCAACTCTTCTACATTAAAAATAAGAGCTATAAAGTTTGCAAATAAAACAGCAGGCATTCGTTTTGAAGGCTAACAACTCACTGTGGTCGCGTTCAAAAAGCTTATTCATATCCGTGTTGTACTTTACTGCAGCAAGCGTATGTGGTGACATGTAAAATTAGCAGTTGACACCTATTCTTAAGGGGTTAAAGTCGATAATTGCAATGCGAGCTATTTCTCTAACGACAAACGTAACTCGGCAGAGGTGTACCACAAGGTTCGCTGCTAGGACCACTACCTTTTCCTGGCGTGTCTATCAAAGGGAAATACAGCCTTTCTATACAGATAGCAGGAAACACAACTCACCATTTTTGCTACATCGTTTATTTTGTACAGCCATTAGTCATGAAATGAATACGTTAAAAGAGGTTTTCTCGCCATTTTTTTTTTTTTTTTTTTTTTTTACAACACAGGGGGCAAACGAGCATGCGGCTCACCTGATGGTAAGTGACTACCGCCGCCCATGATCACCCACAACACCAGCGGCATTGCAGGTGTGCTGCCGGCCTTTTAAAAAGGAATATACTCTTTTCTTGAAGGTTATGTTGTCGTATCGGTTCGGAAATACTGCTGCTGGAAGTTGATTCCAAAGAATGGTTGTGCGTGGAAGAAAGTGCCTTGAAAAACGCACGGTGGAAGACCGCCACTCGTCCAGATGATTGGGATGAAACTTTAGTTTGTGGCGGGTTGTACGGTGGTGAAAATCAGCAGCAGGTATCAATCCGAACAATTCCTCAGAACACTCCCCATGATAAATTCGGTAGAAGAACGTACGTTTTGTATGAACGTACTACAGAAAGGCTAGCTTATATCCGAAAGTAAAATCTCTGTTTGCGGATTTAAGATTAAATTTAAAGAGTCCTCTGTACCCGTGACTTCGTTTGCATAAATTAACCTAAATCGTTAAAATTATCGTAAATTAAATGCTATGTGTTATTGGAAAATTAACTAATTTAGTAACTTTTACCCGCGACTTTGTCCTCGTGACCGAAATATGTTTACTTTCTGAGGTAAGAAGCCTATATCCTTCTTCATCCTATATAGTATATGTATACTAAATTCTATAATGACTGGTCAAGCTGTTAAGGCGCTATAAAGTAACAAATAAACAAACAAACTCATATACTCATTTATAATAATAGTAAGAATAAGAGCAATATTCAGTACTAGCAACCCGCTCCGGCTTCGCACGGGTTTTCTTTAGATTGATATAACTTTTTTATTTATGAACCGATTGAAATAAAATAAACACTAAAATATTAAATGGAGCAAACCGCAGCGCATTAGTGGAAACCCCATTCAAATCGGTTAAGCCTTTTCTAAGATTAGAATGCACAAACGTATAGATAAACAGACAAAATTCTAAAAATCATTGTTTTGGATTCTATTGCGTTCATAAAGCTCCCCCTATATTTTTTTTTTTATATATCCTCCATGTACAGACGGCGACTAGTAACGACCTTATTATATGTATTGATAATAACAATTAGACATATAAATCGTAGATAATTTACTTATATATTCATTTAACTTTTATAGCCAAGTTACACATAACAGACACGTAAAGGCGTTAACTACCAGTCAACCAGGAAGCAAGCAAAGAAGATGATTAAACAGAAATTCAAAACAAACCTTATATCCATCTTTATCCCGGTGATCATCAGTAGCAACTGAGTTATCGATGGCAGCTGATGACTTCCTGCTTGCAATAGTGGGCCGGCCACGAATCTTCGGTCTGTTGACGCTGGCAGATATGACCTGATCCGTTGATCTGGATACGCTGGATGTCACTGATGTAGACACTTTGGTGGGTTTCCGTAATCTTCTGCGGACAGCTGAAAGAAATATTTTTTTAAGTGAGGATGTAATGTATAATATAGATAGATAAATCTTCTTTATTATCTCTTCTATAGGATTACAATAGTAAACTTATTATGAATACAAACAATTGGAAGAAAAAAAATACACTAAGAAAACAATGGGGGGTCTTATCGCTAAGAGCGAACTCTTCCAGGCTACTTTTTGGATGGAGAAGAGTATTTATATACAGTTTGACTGGAGGCCCGAAAATGTAGTTTATTGTTTATTTGAAATTATTAATTATATATTAATATATTTAGATAGATATAGAATATACAATGCCGTGTGGTCCCTGCATAGAATGGGCCACCAGTTTCTGTCCTGTGGGTGTTGTAAGAGGCGACTAAGGAAACTTAACAGAACAATTTACAATAATTTCTTTTAAAGTCTCACACGGGTACCTAGAAGGCATTTATATTAGGTTGTGTAATAAAATTCACTAATTGTATTGAAGGTTATTACTAAAATATATTAATAAATCAATCTTACATTCCTCTGTACCTTAGGGTACAGAGGAATAACACCCGAGTCCTCAGGAATGGCAACGCATGGGGAGTATCATGGGCGAAACAGTATACTCTCTTATGTCCATGGTACTGCTCATGTCTATAGGCGACGGTTACCACTTTCCATCAGGTGGGCCGTCAGCTTGTTTGTCTTTCTAAGTTGTATAAAAAAAAAAAACTTGTGGTTATTTTGTGTTACTGTATACATGATGTCAGTTTGTATTGCTTATTTGTTTTTTTTTTTATTTTGTTTGTGCTTTCTTATTTATTTTTCATGTTATGTCTGTATTGAAAAGTAATACATTTATTATATATCTATTAATATAAATATAAGGATGTATTATACCACTTCGTATTTACTCATCACTTCATATTTACTTTTAGACATGCGTAACTGACGTCTGTGTGGAATAAACAATTTCCATTTATGCTCGGAGGTAAGTTTTATTGAAGAGTTTCGAATAACTTTTGTAATTTTCAATACATCGCACAATATTCAATTGTTCAGTTTGTTGGTTGAGTTTCGTCCCGAGTTTGCTGAGTAAGTGCCGTATCTTATATTTACATCAAAATTTACAACCTGCCAATTTCTCTATGTCTTAGCGAGACGAAAGTTTAATAGTCAACGCTTGTAATTTATTATGTGATAAAAAGTGTTTATTTATTTATTTATTTTTATATATATAATAAAAAGTAATAATGCCACTGAAAAATGTTGTAAAATTACTGTACTTTGTAGCGACATATGTAAAAATCTATGTTTAGTAATGAATAACAGATAGTTTTAAACAACTGTAACGATTATGATAGCGATCGTTAAGTTTACTGTTTTTTTTTTATGCAACTTTGAATGGCATACGAGCTGACGGCCCACTTGGTAGAAAGTAGTAACCGTCGTCTATAGACATGAGCAGTACCATGGACATAACAGAGTATACTGTTTCGCCCACGATACCCCACATGCGTTGCCATTGCTAAGGACTCAGGTGTTATTCCTCTGTACCCTGTAAATTCACTGCCATAACTCATTCTTCAAACCGAAACACAGCCATGCAAACACAACTGATTCACGGTTGAAACACGAATGGAACAGTAGTTTAATTACTAGAGTATTATTTATAAAATTTTACAATTGATAACATTAATAAAATTAAATACTCTTTGTTGATAAATACGTCATATTTTTTTTTAATGATCGTAATTAGTTGCACGGACAAGAGGACACTCTTAAATGAAAAAAAAAAAAATGGTACAACACAAATATTCATGGAGTGAAAAATTAATTATATTATATAACAAAACTATGAACAATAGTTAAAAACTAAAAAAAAAAGCCAGTTAATTTCGAGTCGGACTCGCGCAACGAGAGTCCCGTACAAAATCATCAAGTTTTTTAATGATGAAATAACTAAAAAACTATATTCGGATTTTTTCCTTTACTTGTGCTACATGACATTGTTTCTTGCCAAATTACATAATTTTAGATCAATGGGAAGTACCCCTATGGGTTTTGATTCCCTTTGCGAATGTCAAAATATACGATATAAATGGAACATGAACGGCCGTATCTTTTGATTGTCGCGATTTAGAAGCTCGATTTTTTCACTGCATTAAGAGATTGCAAACCTGCGTATATAATATTAATTTCAACTTGATACCTCCACGCGTTCCTAAGAAAAAGGGTCTTAACAGACGGACGGACATCGAAGTAATTTTGTAAGGGTTCCGTTTTTTCTTTGGAGGTACGGAACCCTAAACCATAAAAATATTATAAAAATACACAACAGACACAAGAATCTTAAATACTCATATAAATGAGACGTGGAAAAGTGCGGATAAAGAGTACATACTTTTTTCGTATTGGAATACACAATTGTGTTGACTGATTGCGCAAGAGTGATGTGAACATTGCTAATAAGGTATTAGATAAACCCTATACAAGTAGATAGTTATGCATTATAAGTTAAAAAAGACTACAGTAATTTTTAATTGTTCATTGCGTATGTATGTCACATTATTTCTTCGGCAACATATGCAACAGTTTCAAGTTACAGGAAGCTATGGAGAGAGCTATGCTCGGAGTTTATTTGCGTGATAGAATTCGAAATGAGGATATTTGCAGAAGAACCGAAGTGACTGACATAGCCTGAAGGATATAGTAAACTGAAGTGGCAATGGTCTAGCCAAATATCTGGAAGAACTGACAACCGATGGGGATGAAAGTTTCTTAAGTGACGATCTCGTACAGGTAAAGCAGTATAGGATGACCTATCACTAGGTGGACCGACGACTATAAATACATTGCAGGGAATCAGTAGATGCAGCTGGCTCAGACTCGTCGTGACTGACATAATGCGAAAGATAAGCAAGTTGAAATAATAATGGGCTGGCCAAATAGCTGGAAGAACTTACAACCGACAGGGATGAAAGTTTCTTAAGTGACGGCCCCGTACAAGTAACGCAGTACAGGATGACCTGTCACAAGGTGGATCGACGACCACAAATATATTGCAGGGAGTCAGTAGATGCAGCTGACTCAGACTCGTCGTGACTGATATAATGCGAAAAATAAGTGAGCTGAAGTGATGATCCTGTACAAGTAACGCAGTACAGGATGACCTGTCACTAGGTGGATCGACGACCACAAATACATCGCAGGGAGTCAGTAGATGCAGCTGACTCAGACTCGTCGTTACTGATATAATGTGAAAGATAAGCGAGCTGAATTGATGATCCCGTACAAGTAACGCAGTACAGGATGCCCTGTCACTAGGTGGATCGACGACCACAAATACAGGGAGTCAGTAGATACAGCTGGCTTAGACTCGTCGTGACTGATATACTCGTAATATGAAAGATAAGCAAGCTGAAGTGATGATCCCGTACAAGTAACGCAGTACAGGATGACCTGTCACTAGGTGGATCGACGACCACAAATACAATGCAGGGAGTCAGTGGATGCAAGTAGCTCAGACTCGTTTCCTATGGCAGTCTATGTTAAGCAGTGGACAGAGAATAGCTGATATCATAACGATGATATATTAGCTAGTTTTAAATCAATTTTGATAATTTTTTTAGCAATCAATAAGGAAGATATCTGTGTAGACCCTATATTTTGTTTCATTATGCAACTGTTTTTGCTTGTGAAGTAACACTTTCAATCGGCTTCGAAAAGTAGTCCGTTCTCAGTGTTGTATTTTTGTATGTTTGTTACCTCATAAGTCAGGAATAGATAGATTTAAAAAAATCTTTTTTTTTTCTCTGAATAAATATTATTTATAGATTGAGCCCATAGAGATTTTATTAAAACCAGTTCAGTAGTTGAGTTTTTAATTGAAAATAAGTGATTTTGTTAGAAGTGAAAAAGGTTTTTGTTTTTTCTTTATACAACTTAGAATAGCAAACAAGCTGACGGCCCACCTGATGGAAAGTGGCAACCGTCGACTATAGACATGAGCAGTACCATGGACATAACAGAGTGTACTGTTTCACCCATGACACCTCCCATGCGTTGCCATGGTTTTTGTGAAACACAATTTTAAATTAGTCTTAAGTAAAATCTACATGAAAATTTTACTAGACATTAACATGTAAAGTTTGCCTGGAAGAGATCGCTTTTAGCGATAAGGTCGCCCATTGTTTTCTCATTGTGATTATTTTTTGTAATTGTTTATATATATAATAAGTTTACTATTGTAATCTTTTTGGAGGAAACAATAAAAAGTATCTATCTATCTAGACAGACGAATTTGTAAAAACACATGCCTTGCAAGGGATTTCGCATTTAAAAGCCAATGGTAAACTAATAAACAATATAAACCACATCATCTGTTGACTGTCCACTGTTGGACATAGGTCCTTAGAGTTTTGTCAGTAGTTGCCACGCTTGGCAGGTACGTTGACAACCGCAGTTAGGCTTTGGTGTTGTTTTAAGAGGAACGCTGGCTGCCTATCCCCCATTCATTAAGTTCCCTTAGTCGCCTCTTACGACATCCATGGGAAAGGAACGGGTGGCCTATTCTATGCCAGGGACATTACGGTAAAAGATTATTCTTGATAACACAGGACAGAATGCGGGGAAAGTCGCTGGTGATGGCAAGTTCTTACGTTAAGTATTTCTAAATGTTCCGTCTAAAGCAGACCTACTATTTTCCAATCTGTTCCGTATAATAAACTTCAACACACTCTGAATTTTAAAAGCCCGTGAGGGACGCGTTATAAGTAATAGCTAAATATAAATAATGTCAAGCCAAAATGAACTTTAAAACTCTTGCGTTAAGTATGTTTTAGTTCGAATTACATATATGGAAAAGTAATTTTTTTAAAGCATCCAGACGGAATATTTTTCTATTGTATATATGTATATATTGAACGTCGATTGTGCGTTATTGGATTTCATAATATAGTATGTTTTCATTGTATTCTTCTATTCACTGAGATTTCAGATATTATGTTTATATATATATTTT